TTTATTGGTTGATTTAGAAGACCCGGTGTGCAGTCAACCAATCAGCGATGGAAATTACTTGTATCCAATCAGAACTTGAGGGAAATTAGTAAACGCTTTTTTAATATTACCGTAGATTTTTCCGGGATCGACAAAACTTCAAAAATTCAGGTTGTCGCTATGTACATGTACGTATATATGGTGCATCTCAACCAGTATTTCATTTAACTAGGAAGTAACTACAAATTTAAATATCACGATAATTTTGTGTGTATCATGCACTTGGATTGGTCAAATTTGTGTTGCCATTTTGATTGGTCAATACTATTGCTCGCATGTGATAAATTAAAAAAAATCGCTAAAGCCGATAAGGAAGTGTAAATTTGGCAAAAACATGAAAACAGATGCTTAAATCTATCTTGGTGTACTAATAAAAAAATGTCGAGGAGACTATTTTATACATAAACTTGATCACAACTCTAGTCTGACCCTAACCCTAGCTTAAATCTATTTTTAATTATTTGGTCATGTGTCACGTGATGTACTAGGCTTTAGACGTTCCCTAAAAAGGGCAAAGTCACAGGTTGCTTTAATGTTATGTTCGTTAACATTAATATTATTAAAAATCATGACACTTTACACGTCACTAATGAAATCAAATTGTCTGCTTTTGATCAGTTATTTTTGAATCCGATTAGTGAATCGATTGTATGCTTTAAAATTTTCAATTAGGGAGCAAATTTAATATAATTAATTCTGTATTTAATTTCTAATTAATAAGTTGTTGACTTTATTGATAGATGACGTGCACTATATTGAGTTGATTGATGTGAATTTGATAAAGAATTTGTTTTTTTCAAAGTTTGATTAGTACAGAAATTCTAATATAGAACTGATAGATCTAGCCATACGGATAGCATTAGTAATTGCCAGACTATATTGAATAATTGTCCAGAATTATAATAATAACAGGTCTCATTTAATTAACAGTTATTAGAATAAATTATTACTCGTGATTGCAATACAATCAAAAAAGAATACAGAGCAAAATACATATAGGCGGAGTCAGTAGAAAAGGGACAAATCTATTAGAGTAATTTGTGCATTTTTTACTGACTCCGCCATATGTCCAACCTTTTACTCATAACTTGAGCCAGAGAATAATATCATTATATTGACAATATCTGTCTCCAATAAGTACAAAAGATATCGTAGCACATTTTATTGACGATTGATATTATCGTCATTATCTATTTTATTTATTAATTATATGTAAAAATGACCGGTTAAGTTACAATATTCAAATTTTAGTTTAGGAGGAAGGTTTATCTTCATCACTATTTTCCTAATAATTTAATAAATGCTGCAATTTGATTGAAACCCTTTCAAGAAAATTTCTCCTGACCGAAAATCTTTAATTGATGCATAATAAGAATAATTATGTATCCCCCGTCAATACCTTCGTAAAAAATTAGCATGTTAACTGAGTAAATATTTAAGTGTACATGTACATATACGTAATCTACATGTACTTATTACTCTTAATATAAAGAATAACAATGTAGTAAAGTGCTGCATAAAGTAAAATCCAATTGTTTTTCCGCAGAATGAATAAAACAAGACTATGGCGCAATTTCTTTATATGTTATTATTCAATTAATAATCTTGAGATTTAAATTTTCTCATGCAAAGCTGATTTACTACCTTTTTGTCATTAACTTGTAATTTTGAAAGTATTTAGTTGCATCAATTTTTCTTATAAAACTGCACAATGCTAGAAAAAAGATTTCTCAATTAAAGCACAAAAATTGAAATATCCGATATCGAAATTCTAACTTCCTTAAAGAAATGAAGACTATTTTACTTTCATTCGCCGTACTAGCGGTCTATGCTCTCAATATATCTGCACTTCCGGCTCACGTCAAATCTCATCCTATCAAATATCATCCTACTAAACCTCCTATTGATGATGAAAGTGGTGGCAGTTCGTGCTGTTCGTGTTGTAGCAAGTGTCTTTGCGCGCAGCAGACGATTGATGTAATGTGTGCTTGTGCACAGCCGGCTCTATCACCATATTGATATATTTCTGTTTTGAATATCTATGTTTTTAGCAAATAAAAATAACTAAAAATGAGATACTTTATACATGTACATGCATTAAAAGTTAGTGAATAGGATAAAGCAGAACTACAGTGGCCGTCAAATGTTTTGCATCACACAAAAAAATAAAATTGTAAATTCAATAACATTACATACATGTACAAACATCTGAAACTCACAAATTCCGACGCATATTGTTTACCAAATGTTGCAAAACATGTAAATATAATTCTTTATTTACAGTCAAGCCTCGATATACGAAACCTGGATATAACGAAAGAAAAAAGACCTTTTTGTTTTAAAATTACCTCTATAACGAATTTTCATAAGGAAACTCGATATAACGAAAAAATTTTCCAGCCCAAGAGGTTCGTTATATCGAGGTTCGACTGTAGTTAATAATCACTAAATTGAAATAATAATGATCGATGCAAGTTTACATGATGCGTTTTTTTTTGACTGTTTACGATGCAAATAATTTAAAACCAATATTTGACTAAAAATTTACGAAATTTAAATAAACTATTCTTTACCACTCTGTATACCCTCCTTTAGCCTCAATTGCATCATTTATTCGTTCGGGCATACTTTCAATTAGACTAGTTAAAAAGTTATGATCTATTTCTATCCATATTTTTTGAATAGCTTCCCATAACTCATCTTGAGTACGAACTGGATTTTCTAACCTTCTCAAATGTATATTCATCTCATTCCAGAGATGTTCTATAAGGTTGAGATCAGAAGATTGTGGTGGCCATTCTAATATCTCAATGTCATTATCGTAAAACTATTGCTCCGTTAAATTAGCCATGTGCTTCAGATCGTTACCCTATTGGAAAATGATATTATTCTTATCCAACTCGTAATGCTCGATAGTTCCTAACAAGTCATCATTCAAAATTTCGCAGTATAATTCCT